CAGCTCTACGGATACCAGTGAAGAAGACACAAAAAGCCAATACTACCAAATGGATAGATGATCAACGGTTACCTAGTTTTTCATTCTGTTCATTTGCTGCTCTTCTTCGACAAAAAATCTGCGTCCTGTTCCCTGTTCGAACTCCGGGCTTCGTCAAGCATCACGTCAATGCCTTTCTCCTTCAGAGTCCTCTGTCGTCCGAGTTAGCGATCTGACAGCTTGCTTTTCCTTCCGATGCCTTCGACTCCGCCTCCCGGGGCGTTGAGACCGACAACAGTCGAGCCGATTCTCTCCAGTCACGCCAAAGTCACACAGTCAAGTTTGCTTATCTGGGTTGTTTTTACTTACAAACAGACACTTCTTGTACTGCTGGAAGACCTCCTCGCACTCGTTCGTCGATGTATTGCCTCGAAGGAACTCTACCGTCCAACAGCGTTAGCTTGCGCTGCTCCTCCTTCTCGTTGCTCCCTTTTCTTCTCTTGTCCGAAGTATGTTTCTTGTCGGGGCCTTAGACAGAACTTACTCTCACTATACCACTTGAGAAAGCACGAGTCGTACTTCCTGCAAACCAGCCAGACGCACAGCGGTCAGTGTGTCTCGCTCCCATTTCTCTGCTTGGATCCCAACGGATAACACCGCCCGGTCGTCGCCAATTCTGCAACAAGGACGTTACTTACTCCTTTATCTCGTTGCATTCCGGTGCCAGTGACGCAGACATGTCGGGTCTCGTCGCCCTGTTAATCCAGCCAAAACGCTCTTGTTCCTGTTGCTCTGTCCCTGTCAGCTACCGTCGTTGTTTATCAACCGGTCGTCCAGCCTTACAGTCAATCCAGGTCAGCTCCAGCTCCAGCTCAGCTTAACCTATAGACGCACACACAGACACAGAACATCAGCCATCCAAGCAGAAGTCAAATCGTTTGCAGGACCTTCTCATCTCCGCAGAGAGCCAGCTCGAGTCAATGGTCCGTTCACCTAGGAAGCCAAGCACCCAAACCATTTGACACCGAAACGAGCCACCTGCGTCGAGTCCATCCAAGACATCCAGCACCCGGCTGATGTCTGACACGCTTTACTTACCTCTTCGCGTCTTCGAGCCTCTAAACTTGCTTCCTTGCTGCTAAACCGCTCTAGCTAACGATACGATGTCAACGTCTTGGGCCAATCGAGATGTATCTATCTCCACGTTGACTTCAGTGCCACTCACTACGGCGTATCTCACCTAAAGCACAAGTGTTAGCATCGTTGCTCAGACCAAGAGCGTCAAGTCAAAGTCGTTGTCAAAACGTTGCGGTTTACACGACAGTCTACTGACGCTGACACCGACGGCTACTTACGCGTCGGTATGCTTCGACTTCTCAGTCCGCTCTGCCAGACAAATACCGAGTCAACATCAAGTTCGCTCGCCCAGGCACGACAATCCCACGGACTATGGACCAGTTACCTCTCCGTCCACCTATGAAGCACACGTCAGCATCGCCATGTCACCAGTCATCACCACATACTCCTCAGAGCAAGGAACATCAAGCAACCAGGGTAGACAATCTTCTGGTGCTGTGCCGATGACTACCAACCGCAAATATCTCCGGCTCTTGCTCTCGCGCTCTCTCGATCGGCTGGACGCCTACTTCTCCTTTTCCTTCATGCCTTTCGAGATCGAGCTGCGAAGCCAAAAATGGACAAGACACTTACTTCTAAGGAAGGTCTCTCTCGCTCAACCCACTCACTGACTGCAGCTTGCTTGTCTCTAGAAGCAACCGTCGAACGAGGCTACCATGTCAGACCGGCGTGGACAGTAACAGCTTCGACAAAGACAGCTCCTGCTCTCGGTCAAATCAACCACGCTCAAGCAGTTCAAAGCACGCTCTTCGGTATTCTCGGTATTCTCGGTGGATCAGGATATCTCAGGTTGTCTTATTCTTTCTTCTTGCTATCTTCTTCTTGCTATCTTTTGCTCTCTTCTTGCTATGACTTTGCTCAATCTTCTTGCTCTTGCTCAACTTCTTCTCAACTTCTCATCTTCTTATGTTTTTGTTTCTTGAGTCGAACTTTTGACGTCGCGCGGCTGAAAATTTCGCCGCTTCCGGTGAACTTTTTATTTTCTTTTTCTATTTGCTTATTTTTTTACTTTATTTTTTTCTTTGCATCAACAGGAAAAAGAAGAAAATCGCAGCTTTTTATCAAAGGTTGATGAAGCTGGTCAAATTGATATTTCCTTACTGTTGCTGCAAAGGATGCACTTGGTCTTCTTTTTCCTCGTTATCTGAGACTGCAATTAATACAAGCAAGCTTACTCTCCTCTCTCAATTCGTTCTTTCTACTACTAGCACTTCCCACGTAATGAGTATGGACGGCGCAGAGGGCTTCACGGCGTTTCAAGAGCAAGCGCACGCAGCACTGGTCAACGCTACCAAGACCAGCCAGCGCATCGTATCCAGCGACCTGACCTTCCATCGCTCCTTTGACTCCAAGACAAGCCGCAGCCTGACCGAGCAGAGCAACAGACTGCTCGGCCTGACCAATTCGCTGCTCCGAATCGCATCCTCGAATAACCCAGACTCCCCCTTCAATGCCAGCAGCAGTTCAACAGATACCACTACCAAGAGCATTATAAAGAAAAAAGCCAAGACGGTACTGCGCGATGAAGAAAGCATAGACGAGAACTGGAAGGCTGTGGTGGACGTTATCGATGAGCTGCTGGAGAAAGCCGATGCGTGTCTGGACGAGTTTACGGGCGTGATTAAGAAGTTTGGTCCTGGTCCTGGTGCCGGTCCGGCGCAGGACGGCGGGAGGAGGGAGGGAGCAGGGTTCCCGCGGATGTATAGCCATGGGTCGTCGAAGATAGCGAAGCCGCAGCTGGGGTTTGATGTGAAGCTTGACAATGCGGATGATGGGCGGGCGTTTAGGCCGTTGTTGAAGAGCAAGCCGCATGCTCTTGTGGGGTTGGAGGAGAGTCTGGGAGGGAGTGAGCAGGACCCTACCAAGCCGTGAGTTTCTTCTACCTACTCTACTCTACTGTCTATTTGCTTGTTATATGAATTGATGATGGTGATGATGATGGTGATGCTAATTGGTGATTAACAGGTATAACCACCCATACGAGAAAGAGATCGAGGCCTCGGTGTATCCGGAGAGCGTCTACCAAAAAGCCGAGCCAACAATGTATCAGCCCGTAGAAGGCACCAAGGCCACCTTCGTCGAGACACTAGAGGACGTGCAACGCATGCTGGCACAGCTGAAGCAGGCAAAGGAGATCGCAGTCGACCTGGAGCACCACGACGGCCACGTCTACCACGGCCTCGTGTGTCTGATGCAGATAAGCACCCGCGAGCAGGACTGGATCGTGGACACGCTGAAGCCATGGCGCGACCAGCTGCAGATTCTCAATGAGGTGTTTGCGGATCCCTCCATCGTCAAGGTGCTGCACGGCTCGAGCATGGATGTCATCTGGCTGCAGCGGGATCTGGGCCTGTATCTGGTCGGGCTGTTCGATACGTTCCATGCCGCGAGCGTGCTGCAGCTGCCGAAGAAGAGTCTCAAGTTCCTGCTGCACGAGTACGTCGGGTTCGACGCCGACAAGAAGTATCAGACGGCCGACTGGCGCATTCGGCCGCTGCTGACGGGCATGCTGGACTATGCAAGGTCAGATACGCATTTCCTGCTGTACATCTTCGACCGGCTGCGTAACGAGCTGCTCGCCCTGGACTCGGACTTGTCTTCAGCGGGCGTTGGTGGCAGGGAGGCAATTGAGTGTGTGCTGGAGCGGTCGAAGGAGAGTGCCCTGCAGCGCTACGAGCGTCCTACCTACGACGCTGCGCGCGGTCGAGGCAGCGGCGGCTGGCACGATATGCTGTCGACGAGCCCGGTGGCGCTGACACGCGAGCAGTTTGCGGTCTTCCGGGCGCTGCACGAATGGCGGGATAAAGTCGCGCGGACAGACGACGAGAGCACGCAGACGGTGCTGTCCAAACGGTCGCTGTTCCGGATTGCACAGGAGATGCCAGAGGACAAGTTTGCGGTCCTGCGCATGGCGTCCCCGGTCTCTGCGTCGCTGAGGAGCCGGACAGACGAAGTGGCTGCCCTGATCCGCCAGGCAAGACAGGGCGGCGCGACGGGGCCGGAGATGCATGAGCTGATCCGACGACGATCTCCGGTCGGACATGCGGCTGCCTCCAAAGACCAGGCAGCAGATCATACACTTGCTTCTGCTGCTGCTACTAGTACGACTATTGCTGGATCTACTGGTGCGGTTGGGGTGCGGACCAAGGAGTCGCAGTTCTGGGGTCAGGCTGAGCTACTTCAAGAGCCGGAACAGGACTATGGATACAGCGTGTCTGCATCGACGCAGGCACTGCAGCTATCCCTGCCTGTCCCCAGCATGCCTGTCCGGCTGGTTGAGGGTGCAGTTCCCCGGACGATTGACGATGGAGCAGACGAGGAGGCAACGTCCGGCGACGAGTATGAAGGAGAAGTAGAAGCAGGAGAAGAACAAGAAGAAGCAAAGACAGCAAGCAAAAGCAACGAGATCTTCACTGTGAGACAGTTTGGAAAGCCTCTGAGGAAGACAGAAAGAGAAGCTGAAGATGGTGAAACGGCGTTTGATATGGATGCGTCTGAGATTCTACTGGATGAAGGCAGCGCAAGGAAGAAGGAGAAGAAGATGAAGCAGCAGCAGAGGTCGTCCCTGGGGAAGAGACAGCGCGAGGAAGGAGAAGGAGACGCTGGAAAGCCGTTTGACTATGCCAGCGCCGAGTCACTGATACACCGTGAGAAGCAGCAGCAGCAGCAGCACTTCAGGGGGCAGAAGGCCAAAGGAGGCCCCGGGAGACGCTTCAACGCCTACGAGAAGCTGCTGGATGCGCCGTCTGGGGTCAAGAAGACTCGCAAAGAGACCGCTGGCCGTTCTCACACCTTCAGATAAACCAGTAGAAGACTTTCTTCCTGTCCTCTTCGGAGTCTTACTATCCACCGTCATGCCCACTGCCATCTCCATCTCCATCTCCATCTCCATATCCATATCCATATCCACCCCCTGACCCTGACCCTGACCTTGACCCTGGCAGCTCCTTAGCGTACCAAGTAATAAAGCCCATGGAGCGTCCTCTCTTGATATAAGTAAACCATCCAAAGCAGCCGCTAGTAGACCGTCTGGAGATATACGAAGACCCCCGTCCGACGCTCTCGTCTGAGATCGGAGACGCTGAAACAAGGCGTGTCGCAGGTTTGGGGCTTCCCCGTCTTGCTCCTGCCCGCTTTCTTAGCTAGAGCCTTTAACTAAGACGTCACTTTCTTTAACTAAAGCTTTAACTAACTTTAGCTAGTCTTTAACTAACGCCAGGCGTCTCTTTAACTAAAAGCAGCGTCTTCCACTTACTTTCTTCTTCTTCTCTTCTTTAGCCCCTTTCGAGTCGCCTTTTTTTTTTTTTTTGCCTTTTTTCTTCTTTTTTTCCTTCTTTTTCTTCTTCTTCTTCTTCTCCCCGCGACTTTCGCCCTCGACTCGACTTCCGCTAGAAATACGACATCGCCATCGCCATCGCCTTCACCACTACCTACGACACACAACGACAGCGACGTCTACCTGCGAGAACCAAGAGTACAGGCATTGGACTCGTCTTGACCTTGCATTGGACGTTTGGTCGTTGGTCGGCTCGAGTTCACTTCACTTGGACCTGACGCTCCCGTCGCCACCACCAGGACTTCGATCACCACCACCTTCGCTTCACCTCACTTCACTTCCATAGACAGACAGACAGACAGACAGAAGACACAGACAGGCGGAAGATACAGACAGGAGACGGAGATAGACAAGATAGACGGGACAGGCCGGTTCGATGCTGTCGTGATGTAAGTCTCCTACGATACATACAGAGAGCAGCAACTAACCATCGTAGAGAGTAGAATGTCCGTCGCAACCATGCTGCAGCCAGCGTCCCGCGCCTCTCGCGCATCAACCTCCTCCTCCTCCTCCTTCCAGCCCATGAGCAGACAGAACACGATGTCCTCGCACGATGCCCGCTCGATGCGCCAGTCGAAGCGCATGTCCGTCACCGCGCTCTACCTCTCCATGTCCGCAAAGGAGAAGGACCTCGAGATATCAGACGAACTCTCAAAAGGTACTCCTCCTGTATACTATACCCCTTTACTCTCTAGATACTGACGGCAACAGCGCAAAAAAGCCTGCGGGAGCTCAAGTCGAAGATCTCCACGCAGTCAAAGAAGAACTTTGTGCTTGAAAAGGACGTCAGGTACCTCGACTCGCGCATCGCTCTGCTCATCCAGAATCGCATGGCCCTGGAGGAGGTAGGATCTATACCCGCAATGTATCCATAAGAAGAAGAAGAAGAAGAGAAGAAGAGAATAAAAGACTGACTGGAGGAGTAGCAAAACGAAGTGGCCAGCCATCTGGATGACCCAGCAGACATACAAGAAGGGGCCTTCCCCAACGACGACAAGACGCAAAAGTACGGTAACCTGCTCTTCCTGCTGCAGTCGGAGCCCCGTCACATCGCCCACCTGTGCCGCCTCGTCTCGATGGCAGAGATCGACTCGCTGCTGCAGACCGTCATGTTCACCATCTACGGGAACCAGTACGAGAGCCGCGAAGAGCACCTGCTGCTCACCATGTTCCAGTCCGTCCTCACCTACCAGTTCGACAACACGCCCGAGTACTCCTCGCTCCTACGCCAGAACACGCCCGTCTCCCGCATGATGACCACGTATACCCGCCGTGGACCGGGACAGGCATACCTGAAACATATCCTGGCCAGCCAGATCAACTCCCTCATCGAGCTGCACGACATCGACCTCGAGATCAACCCGCTCAAGGTCTACGAGTCCATGATCCGCCAGATCGAAGCCAGCACCGGCTCATTGCCCGCCTACCTCGACCGCGCAGTCACCGCAGAGGTCGCCGCCGAAAACGAGCAGGTCCAGGCCATCATTGCGCCCAGACTCAAGATGCTAACCGACCTGGCCAACAGCTTCCTCAAGACTATCATCGACGGCCTCGAGGAGACTCCCTACGGCATCCGCTGGATATGCAAGCAGATCCGCAGTCTCTCAAAACGCAAGTACCCGGACGCCCAGGACCATGTCATCTGCACCCTGATCGGAGGCTTCTTCTTCCTGCGCTTCATCAACCCAGCCATCGTCACGCCGCGGTCGTACATGCTCATCGACGGCACTCCCGCAGAGAAGCCGCGCCGCACACTCACCCTGATCGCAAAGATGCTGCAGAACCTCGCCAACAAGCCTTCCTACGCCAAGGAGCCCTACATGGCCAAACTGCAGCCCTTCATCCAGCAGAACAAAGAGCGAGTGAACAGGTTCCTCCTCGACCTCTGTGAGGTCCAAGACTTCTACGAAAGCCTCGAGATGGACAACTACGTCGCCCTGTCCAAGCGCGACCTCGAGCTCCAGATCACCCTCAACGAAATCTATGCTACCCACGCCCTCATCGAGAAACATGCCCCCACCCTCGCCGCAGACCAGAACTCCCATCTCAACGTCCTCCTTCAGGAACTCGGTCCTGCGCCCGCCCAGCTGCCCCGCAAGGAGAACAGAGCCATCCACCTGCCCCTATTCAGCAAATGGGAAGCACCCATCGACGACCTCACCTCCGCCCTCGACATCACCCAGGAAGAGATCTTCTTCATGGAACCAAATCCCCCTTTGTCCAGATAATGCGTTCGCTCCCGCACAACACCTCCGTCACCCGCCGCCCGCTCAGACTAGACCGCATCGCCGAAGCAGCAGCCACCCTCAAAAACGACGCCGTCATGGTCCGCAAGGGCATCCGGACAATGGAACTCCTCAGCCAGCTGCAGGAACTCGGCGTCATCGACCGATCAGACGACTTCTCCTTACTCCGCGACGAGGTCGAGCAGGAACTCGTACACCTCGGCTCGCTGCGTGAGAAAGTGCTCGAGGAACAGCGCAAGCTGGAGGAAGTCTACCGTACCATCCGCGACCACAACGCTTACCTGGTCAACCAGCTCGAGACCTACAAGTCGTACCTGCATAACGTACGCAGCCAGAGCGAGGGCAAGCAGCGCAAGACGCAGAAACACCAGGAACTCGGACCGTACAAGTTCACCCACCAGCAGCTTGAGAAGGAAGGCGTCATTAGACGAAGCAATGTGCCCGAGAACAGGCGGGCGAATATATACTTTATGTTCAAGAGCCCTCTCCCAGGCACTTTTGTCATCAGTCTACACTACAAGGGTATTTCTCTCTCTCTTTACCCCTTTTTCCTTTCCTAATGATAATACATGCTAACAGTGTGTGTGTATGTAGGACGAGCTAGAGGCCTGCTAGAACTAGATCTGAAACTCGACGACTTGCTGGAAATGCAGAAGGACAACCAGGAAGACCTGGACTTGGAATACGTCCAGTTCAACGTCTCTCGCGTCCTGGCTCTGCTTAACAAGCGCTTCGCCCGGAAGAAGGGCTGGTAAAATGCTACTTCTTCCCTTTCCCTCCGTACCCTACTAATACGTTTCTTCTTCCCCTTCTTCTTCCTTTGGCTTTGGCTATCGGTATCTTTTGGTTTGGCTTGCTCTGGTCTTTTGCTCTGGTTTGATATCTTAATTCGCTGACACACTCTTTTCTTCTCTGCTTGGGGATATACCGATTGACCTGATCGATATTCCTCCCCCTTGCCTTTTTACTCTTTTTTTTCTACATCTTACTTACATCTATTTATATTCCCCCTTTCTTCCCATCGGCTCCCTTCCAGTGGATAGAACGCCTTGATGTTTTCTTCGTCTTCTTGACACCTGTTACTTATTGATCATTTACCGTCTTCCCCTTTCCTTCGTTTTCCACCCGCCCCGTCTCTGTACTCTTCTCCTCTACTCTGCTCTGCTCTGTTTTGTTCTCTACATACCCCCTGGTCCTGGCTTCTTTCTCCCTGTCTGCCTGCTTGCCTCGCTGTGTTTCGATAATGTTTCATTTCCTCGTCCTTTCCTCCCCCCGTTTGCCTATCTATTGATCTACCTGCTACTTATCTTATGTACTCCATCTCTTTCCTACCGCTGCTACTCTTACGTTGATATTATGCCCATGTCTCTGTTTTCCTTTCATGTTAACTCTTACCGTCTGCTCTATCTGTTCTATCTATCTATATCTATGCCTGTATTTCAATATCAAATCTCAAGGAGGAAACTTGCCCTTTTTCTGTCTTCTTATATATCCTTCCGTCCTACTTACACTTACGCCTGTCTTCCTGCTTCCCTCTCCTTTCCCCCGGATGTCTTTTCTTCCACTTTCTTTACTTCCATGAAACGGTCACAGAAAAAAAGGAAAAAAGGAGAGATCTCAGTCAGTGTCACACATCACAGTATATCTTATATCCTCGCAGTTATTATATCTATAGTTATCCAGTTATTTATCTAATAAATCAAACGGACTATTAATTAATATACCCAAGCCGTCTTCTCCATCTTCTTCTCCCCCATCTCCAACTGGTCTTATTACTCTTAGACATCATCACAGTCGCCCTCGCCGTCCACTCAGCTTCTTGCTCCGTCTTGCTTCCCCCTGGCTTCTTCCACCCCACCCCGAGACAACGCAGAGTAATACTTATACATATACGGAGTATATATATAGCAAAGACTCGCCCGTCCCTCTCTAAGTCAAGTCAAGTCAAGTGCGTCAGTGTCATCCTCCCAGCTCGTTAACCAACTAACTAGTTCAACCAGCTTGATTCAGCCACACCCAAAAACGCAGTCAGAAGAGGCGAAATCCGCCCCCTTTTACGCAGCCCACCAACCAACCACGCAGTCAAGTCGTCGGCGTCACCAACACCAAAACTGCTTAAACTACTTAACTAACGCATATCCTTGCCTGCTTATATTTAACTACCTACAACTTACCGCAAGTCCACCACCACCACCACCGACTCCCCTACGCATCTCCATAGCATATTAGCATATAACCTCAGATAGACGGACGGGCATATAGACGGCTGGACGACAGTGCAAAATGGCAGCGAAAGAACCCCAACCAAAGGACCTCCCCATCGACCCGAAGTATGACCACTACGACTTCCCCACGTCTGCTCCGACGCCGCAGGCTGGACACCCGGGATATACCACGCCCGAGCAGGATGCACAGGTATTCCAGCTTCGAAAGCAGCTGGAAGACGCAGGATGCAAGGACAGGCTAGATACGTTGACGCTGCTGCGGTTTCTGAGGGCGAGGAAGTTCAATATCGAAGCTTCGAAGGCGATGTATGTATGCCTTCACTGTGAAGTCTTACTTCAACTCGACTTGACTCGACTTGAAAGATACAGCTGAAATTCAATCACTGACATGGCATGGCACTCATAGGTTCCTTGCGTGTGAGAAATGGCGAACAGAGTTCAAAACCAATACGCTGGTAGCGGACTTTGACTACCCTGAGAAAGAGAAGATGTTCGAATTCTACCCTCAATTCTACCATAAGACGGATAAGGTACGCATGGTATACCATAACATAGACACATACCTGCCCTCCCACCCAACGAGGGGAAAAAGGGAATCATTGCTGATGTTGAAACGTTGACCAGGACGGCCGACCAGTGTACATTGAACAATTTGGCAAAATCAACCTAGACGCCATGTACAAAATCACCACCAGCGACCGCATGCTTAAACATCTGGTATGCGAGTACGAAAAGCTCGCTGATAACCGCCTGCCCGCCTGCGCCCGGAAATCCGGCCACCTGCTCGAAACCTGCTGCACGATAATGGACATGAAGGGCGTGGGTCTTTCCAACGCTTCATCCGTCATCGGCTACGTCCGTCAAGCCTCTGCCATTTCTCAGAACTATTACCCGGAGCGACTGGGGAAGCTGTACATCATCAATGCGCCGTGGGGGTTCAGCACGGTGTTTGGCATGGTCAAGGGCTTCCTTGATCCCGTCACCGTGAAGAAGATTGCTGTTCTAGGAAGCGGATACGAGAGCGAGTTGCTCTCACAGATCCCAGCAGAGAACCTGCCTGTGCAGTTTGGTGGGAAGTGTGAGTGTGAGGGTGGCTGTATGTTGAGTGATATGGGCCCCTGGCAGGAGCCGGAGTGGTTGACTCCACAGGAGAAGAAGACAGAGCAGGTGAAGACGGAAGTGGTGAAGGAGGAGGCTAAGAAGGAGGCTGGAGAGGAGGAGAAGAAGGATGGAGAGGATGAAGGGGAGAAGAAAGAGGGGGAAAAGGAGAAGGTTGTTGATCCTGCTGCTGCTGAGGGTGCTGCGCCAGCTGCTACTACGACGGCTCCAGCCCCAGCCCCAGCCCCAGCTCCGGCTGCTGCTTAGGTGGAAGACATACAGATGAACAAAAGGTAGAAGACCTTTCCATTTTTGATCTGGGACTGAACTAGGATGGACGTTTGGTCTATTCGTATATACATACAGTACAAATATACTACCTGGTGACTTCTATAGTGTTGGTACAGCATCTGCATTGAAAAACTACTGCATGGAAGAATATATGGAAAGAATTCATTATCCCATATTCAAATGTTATCAACAGCTCAAGCATTCCATTATATGCCGGCATATTCAAGTTCATCCTTCTTCCTCGGCCTTGATCCCAGGTTGTCCCTTAATACCTAACTAACACTGAACCCCTATCCCGGAGCGCCACCTCCAGCTAATTAATATCGCCTGTCTTAATATGCAACAACATCGTTACACTTAAAAACCAGCCAACCCAGGGAAAAAAAAGCATTATTAATAAATAAATTAACCCGATACCTTCAATTACATCTTCTCAACCACCCCGGTAGCAAGCCGTGCTCTCTCCGCCTTGCCCACCGTCGTGGCCAGCGGTGCACCAGCACCACCAGCCATATAACTGCTTCCTCCCCCGTCTTCTTCATCCTCGTTCCCATATCCAATCCCGCTTCCTTCCCCTTGCAATTTAAACAGTGTCTCTAGCGATCGGGCATAGACATCACTCATATCCCCGTCTCGCCAGCGTCCCTGCACCTGTTCCGTTCCTACGGGTGCCTGTAGGAGCCATTCAGGGTGTTTCTGAAGTATCCTCTGTATCCTTTCAATGTCTCGTTTCTTCTCTTCTTCTTGCCGTTGGTCTGCATCTGCATCTACCTGCATATCATCGTGTTTATCATCCACGTCGTAATCTTCGTCAATATCGTCATCGTCATCATCATCATCGTTTAAAAGTGCACTGGTTAACGCCTCCTCGTACGCCTTTGCTGCCTTTAGCGGTGCATCCCGCCTCATCTGCGCTACTGTTGTCGTGAGTGATTCTAACTGTGCGTAAAGAGATGTGAGTCTGGCCGCGAGATCAGTGTCGAATGGTTCGTATTCAATCGACTCCCGAGCTGTCAGGAGTGACTCGAGATGGATTGTTTGTTCATCTCTGCTGGTGCCCTTTTTCTTCGAGGAAGCGGCTGTCGTGTCGATTCCATTTATGCTTATGGAGGGTATAGCGGATGTGAATGTCTTGTTTATAAACTGGAAATCGAGTTAGTTATGTCTTAATTGACATTCGAGAAACAAGACAAGAACATACGCCATCGACTAAATTGCGCACTCGCTCTTTCATCGGGTCCGAGTCATCGTTGGCAGAGGGAGGGAAATGGAGGTCGATCTTCTCGCGTGCCACTGTCAGCGTGTTTGTGTAGAGGTAGGAGAGGTCTGCGGTCGACTGTAGCTCGATCTTCCGGTGATGAGGTTCCTGCATGTTGCCGTCTTCTCTCTATAACCGTCCGTTGCGCCTCTTTTGCCGTCTATCCTCTTCTGTCTTCGTCTATGCCTTGTCTTGTCTTGTCTGATATGTCTATGTCTATGTCTTTCGTCTTTTTTGTTATCTGATTTCGCGATTCCGAGTGTTGATATCCCTTTTGGGCTTAGCGTCACACATGTGATGTCATCAGCTTAGTCATCGTATTTTTCTTTCTTTTCCTGGTTTTTGCTTAATTAAGAAACTTGATAAGACGAAGAAGCGAGAAAGTTGAAGCTGGAGCTGGAGAAAGAGAGACACGCATTTCCTTGTCTCCCCTTTTTTCCTCCACCGTGGATACGTACATATAGCAGAGACTGATTACTTCCCTCCTTATGGCGACGGAGACAGCACCGCTACGGCTTACCTTTGGAGCTGGAGACTTCACCCCCTAACTGCCGAGTTCGCTGTCCTCTGGTCGGCCTGCCATGGCGAGCGGCGGTGGCATCCTCCTGGTAGACAACACCCGTCCGGCACACGAACCGGACGAGCCTGAGAACGGCCTACAAGCGAGCCGGACGAGCACCCGCCGGTCACTAGCTAAGAAGCTGACTGGCCTCTCCGTTCGAGAAAACCTGGCACGGCGGAAATACGCAAAGTATCAGCAGGGTCGGTACAATGGTGTTAAAGGCGTCAACGGCACCAACGGTGTTCATGGTGCCAATGGTATTAATGGTGTCAATGGAGACGATAGCAGGCTCAGCAGAGAGATTACAGCTACGTCTCCAAGAGAGGGCTCGCTGTCCAGGAGCACGTCAATCGCAGGGTCGTCGTGTGCGATTAGACGGTCAGAATCAGACGTGGCGTTCGACGCCGAATCATACTTGCAGGAACAACCAACAGCAGAAGAGCTGCAACCTCAATCACAGAGTGAGATAGACGTGCTATACGAAAACCAACGGGGATGGTTCTTCTTTGGCAAGCCGATCTTTTCGCAAAACTCGCTTTTGAACCTTGACCCGCCAGCATGGATGACTGCCACTTTTGAAAAAAGCCCCGTAACAATTGCGAATGCACAGGTCCCCGACCCAAGCTGGGAATGGGACTGGAAGACATGGTATGTCGACATGTCGTATGATGTTGATGAGGAGGGATGGCAGTACTCGTTCTCCTTTGCCTCGAAGTTCTCCTGGCACGGAACCCATCCCTGGTGTTTTTCGTTTGTTCGACGGAGGCGATGGCTCAGGAGGAGAGTGAGGAGGTCTAAACATCGACCTGAAAAGGGTATTGTTGGTTATGGGCTGCCAGGAAGCTGTGAACACAGCATTCTCACCGCCGGTGAAGCTGGAACGACTTATACTGGACAGCTATCGAGAATATCCCAAGATGAGTGGGAAGAGACCGTTGCACCCGAAGACATCACGAACGTGGCCATTCTATCCAAGGCCATGAGGATTTCCACGCTGGACCGTGAGAGGATCGACGCAGTGAGAGAATTCGTACACCGAGGAGGAGATGGCCTGGTGCTACTGGAAGATAAGGTGAGGATGCCCGCGCTGTCCTGCCGATAGTTTAGATATTTCTTGCTAACATACCGTGTAGATGCCCGAGTTACTGTCGATGCTGCTCTTCCATTCTTCGCGTCGAGAGTTAGTCAAACTGCTGAAACAGTCAATGGATGAAATACCGCAAGACTCTTCCGATGAATCCGCGAGAGCCAGGCGGGAGAATCTTCACAAAGCGTACAAAGCTGGTGACCGGCTCCTTAGAGAGTCGTTGGGCTGGAACGGCGCATGAAAGCGCTGCCCCATCTGTCCTGTATTATAGAACTGCCCTCGAACAAAAATATATTTCTAGATAGGCTATCCAACATTTTATATTCTTCATCCGATCCTCCATCTCTGTATCTGTTGTCTTTATCTCCAAGCCTTGTATCTGCTTACTAAGCGGCCTTAGCTCAACCGTAAAAAAGTCGAAAAGCGAAAAAAGCTCGAAAAGGCATTTTGGACAGAAAAGTCCAGCATCTACAGCATCATCGATGACCTGACGACGTTTCGGGCAGCTCAATGCTCGTCGGCAGCTATCAATGTTCTCAGGCAGTCGATACTGCTTGTCGAGGAAAGCAAGCATACCCGTTGCCGAGAATATCAGCGCAGCCTTGAAGAATGAACCGCTCCTCTTCCTCTATCCACCGGCCTTTGCTGCCGCGATTGACAACTCCATCGGGCTCACGAAGGCGCGATCTGCTTCAGATACTAAAAAACCGGCAAAGGAACGAATAAACCGCGAGCCGGACGATGCGCAGGGCCGACAGGGGAGGATTCCACTACGTCCTAGTTCCGAGGTACCAGCTCGTCAGAAGACTCAACCAAAGAGTCAACACAAGGAGAACAGCAGCCACGACAATATACTACCCATAAATAACACTGAAAGTACCACCCCTCTCGATACCGTTCCAGCTCCGCCGATTGTTGAATATGCCCGTGATGACAAGCCGAGCAAAAGCAAGGGCGGCAGCAGCAGCAGCTATTCCCTACCAAATCGATCTAAATATGCACTACCAGGACTGCTCGCTGAACTCGAGGATTTGAAGACGAAGCAGGAAGTTCAACCCTCGAGCCATGAACACCATGATGCGGACCAGTTAGGACTCAGAGAGGCACCGGTACGGAACAAAAGTCGTCTGGGAGGTTGGATAAGGAAACCAGCGCGTGCTGTTCCCTTACGATATACCAAGTCCATGGCCGATTTTGACAGGCAAAACGCTTCACGGAATCCCTACGGAGTGGCACCTCCGCGCACTCCACTACGATATGTCCGTCATGGCTACAATAATGCAATCAGTCACCGTGTATATCAACATAAATCTCTTGAGGACCAGCGGAGTGATGCACAGCGTCAAGCCAGCATATGCCTTCAGATTGTGGAAGGGTTCAAAAGCCTCATCAATACCAAGCCGGATCTTCCAGCCGATGAATTTCAAAAAACAATTACGCTGAGTGAAGCTGAAGTGGTTGCTCTGGTCGGAGACGAGCGAGAGAATATGTGGGTTATACCCTTACTAAGTGGATGTCGTGCACACGTTCTTCCGCACACGAACGAGTCACTCGGGCTTCGTCGGTTGGTGTTAAGCGGAACACAAGCGGCTGTTCAAGCTGGAGAAAGACACATAGAAGAGCTTATCCAAAGCCTTCCTAAGAATGACCTCCCTCCTTTCATTCCACTCCTGAAGGATTCTTCGCAGAAACCCTTGATAAGATCGGTATGGGTATCACTTCCGCCGGAACCACTTGTACCTGGCAAAAATGAGATAAAAGCCCCGGAGAAGTTCACCATCAAGACCTTTGCGGATTACATTGAGGATTTGGTTCTAGTACCAGTTACACGATTGGTCCATGGGAAACTGCATAATGCACTTGGAGTTTCCCATAAGGATGCGATTGGGGACATGATCCGCCGTCTTATGCTCGATCCAGAGAACAGACAATACTTCTCGTCCCGCTCTATATGTCTGGCCATATCCTACTTTGCGTCCAACCACGCACGCTCGTCACTTCATTCTCTACTTCCCGCTTTTGAAGGCCGTATGACGTCGCGGACCATAAATGCACTCCTGCGAGCAGCTGTGCTTCGTCGGGACTTTGTGTCTCTAAAATGGTGTATCAATGCTATGAAACGCCAGGGGATCTACCCTCGGAATTGGGCCTGGGTATCTGTACTCTCCTCGATAAACCCCCACGCCCATCGCTTTGACCTTCTGGTCCGGGCTAAAAACTCTGGGGTTTTTGATGATGCACATGTGTTCCAGGTTGCAGTATCTATATCCATCCAGCCAAGGTTTGGAAAATGGCTAAAGGACGGTGGTACCGTATCTGATTTCATGAAACACATGGATCAGACTCTCGGCCAGAGCTGGATGAGCGTTCGTACCATTAACAGGATGATCCTTGAAGGTTCTCTGTGCAGCAAACCGAACGTCATATCGGAACTTCTCGAGTACTGCGAACGATCCTCGCTAAGTCTAGATACAACCAGCTTGAACAACGCACTGTTTTACTTCCTTCACCAGCAAGACAAGATGAACAAGGCGTTTGTGGCTTTATACCTGAAGGTTACGAAAACCTTCGGCATCAAGAGCGACGATCAGACGATGGACATACTCTGGCACCTTGCCTGGAGAGCAAGGGCGTATAACATCTGCCGTGTTCTTTGGCGACATGGCTGCCTCAATGGCTGGACCACACAGAAAATGCAGGTTAGCATATACTCATCGCTCCGCCGAGAAGTCCATGGCCCTTCCCTACCAGAGCGTGAGTTATGGCTTCAGAAGATCGGCAAGGTAGTTGCTGGCGTTATTCCGTTTGAAAAGCTGGATGCAGATGCCAGTCAAGATTTTAACAAACTGGTTCTCGGGATTTGTGAATCGCCGTCCGACATTCCTCCCGAGTGGCGGAAAGAATTGGCAAAGAAATTGGTGGACAGTGATCTCGGCGCTTCAGATAAAGGGTACAAGTATAGGGAGCCCCTTAGCCAGGCCCTTGAAAGAGCCTACGTTTTGGATGAAGAATGGGGTGCATGTCATGACAAGCCAGTTGACTGGCTACGGAAGAACAGTGTGGCGGTTGACATAGTCAAAAATGTCAGGCCGCCTCGGCCTCGAGCTTTGAAGCCATCAGATAAACGCGAGCCTCTCGCTCTGACTGGTTGACAATTTATTTGTCGTTTCCAATTTTGATTGATACCCGGTTTTGCATATATAGCGAGCCTTATGCGGAGATACCTCTGTTGTATAATAATGTATCACTATTTAGAAATAAATCTATCATTGCTGTCGTTGACCGTCTAATCTCTACAGAGGCGGCCCATCCTCCAATCTCTAGCAATAACTACATTATATGCTGCTAGTTAAATGGATTGACCCAAATCCGCTCTCTGGTCTTGTTCCTGCCGCAGTTTTTACTAGCTGGCGTGTGATATTGTTTGATATTTTGTGCTCGATAATCCAACTGTGCGCGCGTGATGCTGCTAGGGCTTCGGCAATTGATATGCCAAACTAGGGATGTGTTCTTCTGTATATACAACATGTCCAGCATGTCATATATCATCCTGGCTCAACATACATGATGTCCTGGATGCTCGCCGTTTTCATGCAATGGGAGGTCATCCGGATGCCCATGGTAAGGGTCTGAAGTGGGAATCATGCCCACGTCCTCCTTCAGGTAGAGAACGAACCGAAAGGCAGAGTTCCCATTGAGATAGTACCGATGCAACTGCTTGCTCCTGAGGAACCCCAGTCGCTCGTACAGCTTCATGGCTGGGGAATTTGTGATCTCAGTCTCCAGGACAATCTACAAGACGAGCCAACAATCAGTATTCAACACTTCCATGTATATCCAGTAGTCACTCTATAGCAAGCCGCATTACCTCATCTGCATCTCTCTCTATCATGGCGTCCATGGCCAAACGAACCAACTTGGTAGCTATGCCTTTGCCCCTGTGCTCCTCCTGGACCGCGAGCATAGCTATGTACCCTCTTAACGGCCCGCCACGATGCGGTTCCAGCTTCGAAACAACAACACCAACCAGGTTATTCTTCTCGTCCATCGCCATGTAGCAAAGATCCCCCCATTCGTAGAGAAAGTAGCGGTAGACGTAGATGCTGTACGGCTCGGAGAGGTCCTGGGATATCAGCTGGCGCATCGCGGGGACGTACTCGTTCTCCTTCGCGGCCTCATACTGGACGTAGCGGAACTGCGACGGAGCGTCCGCCATCGCCATCGCAGGTCTGACAGGCTTGAGGTATCTGCGAGTCACTCAAGCTGGTCGAAAGCGTCCACGGTGGGTGTTTTATCGTCGTTTTAAATCTCGGGCGGTTTCGTCTTTTCCCGCAGATTCTTCTTACATCATCACCAAGTTGAGCTTCGAGTCTTCTTCCTCTTTCTTTTGTGTCTTGCCTCTCCCTCTTCTTACTTATTCCTCTTTCTTCCTCTTCAGCTGTGTACCGCGAAGTTCCTCTTAGTCTCCTCCTATTCTCTCGACACTGTCAGGCGCATTGGTGCAGACGTTGGCGTTTTTATTCCATGTGATTGACACTAAGAGGGTGGCCCGCTAACTAGCTATTTATTTCTACTCCTCTGGAAGACGAAATCCTTCCCTCGATACCTAAAGAAAAGCCGAAGAACCCTTGGTTAGCGATCCTTAGCCTTTGATACTCGCTTCCGGAGGGCCATGAGCAGTCGATAGGCGTCTGTCCAGCTTGCGCGCCTGTTTTTGTACTATATTTTTGCTATGGCGGAACTTCGACGTCGGTTGGGTGCAGACCTCGTATCTACATCTGCCAGTGACGAGAACACTCCCTCGAATGCGAGCGCTGTATCCAAAGCTACAGTTTCAGAAAAAGTGACAGAAGCGCCCAAGGCCGAAGATAACTGCCGCAAAAAGGTCGAAAAGGAGGTCGTATATGTCCACACACCCTCGAAACCTGACGATGCAGGCCCCACGAAGAGAAGAAGCAAGCGGCGAAATGGTTTGATATTTGGACTGGGAGGGATCTTTGGGATATTTGTGGCGCTGTTTTTCGCAAATCAGAATGAGGTTATCAGCTTAGACGCGTTGCTGGATCTTAATATCGACTCGCTGATTGAAGTTATACCTGCCGGCATTGTCCGGGATGCAAAGGAGTTTTCGGTGCGATACATACCCATATATCTTCAGACCTATAGAAATGCATATACTGACTCTATAACAGCAAAGTGAACGTGAGACGGTTAGCTATGATTCGTTTTCAGTGGGTTTGCATCTGCAGTCACAGGGGATTAAGGCCCATCACCCAGTCATCATGATACCCGGAGTTATATCTACTGGTCTAGAGAGCTGGGGAACGGATGAGAAATCAAGGCCGTACTTCCGAAAGCGTCTCTGGGGCAGTTGGAGCATGATGCGTGCACTTGTCCTTGACACTGCAGGCTGGAAGACTAACATCATGCTGGACAAAGAGACCGGACTTGACCCACCTGGAGTCAAGCTACGGGCTGCGCAAGGCTTTGATGCAACGGACTTCTTCATCACAGGCTACTGGATCTGGAATAAGATATTAGAAAATTTGGCGACGATAGGATATGACCCTACAAACGCCTATTCAGCAGCCTATGACTGGAGACTATCATACCTTAACCTAGAGCATCGAGATCACTACTTCAGCAAGCTCAAGGACCACATCGAGACCGCAGTGAAACTTAACGGGAAGAAAGTCGTCCTTGTCTCACACAGTATGGGATCACAGGTAGCTCTATTCTTCTTCAAATGGGCTGAACACAAAGGCTACGGCAACGGTGGTCCGGACTGGGTAGACCGTCACATTGCGTCCTGGATCAACGTCAGCGGCTGCATGTTGGGCACTTCCAAGGGACTTACAGCCGTACTATCCGGAGAGATGAGAGATACCGCACAACTCAACGCCTTTGCAGTGTACGGCCTCGAGAAATTCCTATCCAAAGAAGAACGAGCTGAGATCTTCCGCGCCATGCCCGGCATTTCCAGCATGTTACCAAAGGGCGGCAACGAGGTATGGGGCAACCATACCTGGGCACCAGACGACTTCCCCAATCAACCCGTAACAAACGGCAACCTGCTGAACTTCCGATCAAACACTACCCTCACAGCCGCTTCGAAATATAACTTCACCGTCGAAGACGGGCTGGAGTATCTGTACAACATCTCGGAACCGTGGTACCGCAACCAGCTTAGGGAGAACTACTCGCATGGCGTGGCGCATACAGCAGCAGAAGTCGAAGCTAACGAAAACGATCCTCGCAAATGGCTGAATCCGCTTGAAACCCGTCTTCCGCTGGCGCCCAATATGAAGATATATTCGTTCTATGGCGTCGGCAAGCCAACTGAACGAAGCTACTTCTACCGCGAGGAAGTTGACCATCTGTCGAAACTGAATGTTACTATGGACACATCTGTGATGGAAGGCGAAGGGGAAGGACACGTCGATCGGGGCGTTGTTATGAATGAAGGCGATGGGACTGTTAACTTGCTTAGTTTGGGTTATATGGGTACTCGTGGATGGAGGATCAAGAGGTATAATCCCGCCAGAATACCTATTAAAGTGTACGAGATGCCTCATGAGCCTGAACGGTTTTCGCCGCGAGGAGGTCCGAATACAGGTAAGCTTTCCGCCCGCCATGTCTATTCGTGTTTTGCTAGTTTGATGCTAATTGACGGTAGCCGACCATGTTGATATACTGGGCCGATCATCTTTGAACGACTTGATTCTGCGCGTTGCAGGTGGCAAGGGCGATTCTATCGAGGAGAACTACGTCTCTCGTATCAGGGAGATAGCCAGCCGAGTGAAGGTATATGACGACGAGTAGATACATACGTCTACCATTTTTACCACATGTTACATTAACTTACCACAGAGTTATTTATATAGACCATAGCCAGCTTAAGCTATGATAACAAGCCAGAAATAATAATGTTATCGTAAAATCAATGAATTAGGTATTATGCTAATACAATACAAGCTACTCGGCAGATATGCAAGTAGCCGTTGGGATAAAATAATTACATCATGAATCAAGTCAAGTCAAGCAAGCAGTTGGCGTAAAGTAAAGTGGCGGGATCGGGGGGAGATAGGGGGGAAGGGGGTTGGCTATAGAATGGCCATATGAGGTATCACAAGGCTAAAAAGATCGCTCGCTTGCATAACAATAGCATTAAAGGATTCTTCAACCAATCGCTCAAAGTGTAAAAAGGGGGTATAATATGCATGGCCAACGCACTTGCTGCTTGCTTGTTTTCTTGCATTTGTATTCATGACAGAAGGCAATATCTTCTCTCTGTCGGTTTGGTTGTGTTCATCACTTGCATCCACACGTCAAAGCGCGGAGCTGTGTTATCCTGCATCCCCAGATTCAGGGGGCAGCCACCTCGTCCTCCTCCTTATCCTCATCAATTAATCAACCTTCTTCTCCAAAAAGAATAAAACGATAGTGTTCAAAGCGAACGTATCCAGCCTGGATAGGTCTTCCGCAGTCCACGAAGCGAATGTAAGGAAACAAAAGTGGTATCACCGTCACCGTCACCATCAACTCCATTAACACCCAAAACCAGATGCCCCGTTGGTTCCCAACCATCCATTCCAATGATCCGGTCCGGTAAGTTAAGCACTTTTTGATCCAAAAGAAAGAAACATATGTATATCCCCCGTCTCAGCCTGCGTTGTAACAATAAGCAGGCGGGCAGTGTGGGAGAGGGTAGATAGATAGTATGTTGATAATCTGTGTCGTGCGTCGTATCCAAGCGATGAATTTGTCAGGGCGGTATAACGATAGATAAACCGAGCCTGTTCTCGACCGTTTCCAAACCTCTCTGTCCCCAACCCCACCCCTTCCCTGTCCGGTCGTATATATTAATACATTATCGTATCGTATGTTTGTGTAGGTTTGTTCATTCCTGCTAAGGTATTTGTATGCTCTCATCTTGAGATGCCTAAGCCGGTCTCGAGGTCTGAAGAGCGTTTGGGTACGACGTCTATCTCAGCGCCCCATGCCGACTGCTCGTCGACTGGGCTCAATGAGCCAGAGGAAATGGATGAGCTGGATCCGACGGTCCATTCGTCACTGTCAAGCTGTAGGCCATCAGCGACGTCATAGCCGTATGAGCCAGGCATGCTCATGTCGGCAGTGCCGACTTCAACATAGTCGTAGTCCCAGCGAGTGAACTTGTCGGTTTGCACGCGTGGAAGGAAGCGAGACTTGACATAGTAGAAGGTGACTGCAGCAAGGAGACCGCCACCGATAAGGTCGACAGCGTAGTGGTGGGAGAGGTACATGGTTGACCACCAGAGCCAGACAACGTAAGTGATGAAGACCGGCTTGAGTTTTGGGAATGCATGGCTCATGAAGAGCGCTTCAAAGGTGGCATGGCCGGCGTGGAGGGATGGGAAGGCGCCGAAGGGTACAGGTGCGGCAGAGAAGCCGGAGGTGTACAGGTCAATGCCAAACAGGGCGTCAATGCGTGCCAGACCACCGGGGTCTCCTGGCATGCCGTAGTGAGCTGGCGCAAGACCGTAGAGGTTTTCGTACCAAGGTGGAGAGCAAGGGAAGAGGAACTGGATAATGACACCTGCAATATTCATGTATCCGAAGCTGCGAGCAAAGATGGGAGTGATGCCGGGAGGGCCGAAGATGAAGAGGAAGATGGCGCAAACGACGGGAGCACCGTAATGCATGATCCCGTAGGGGAGCCAGGCGAGAAGGTCCAGAGCGGTAGACTGGTGAGCTGAGAGGATGTTTGACAGGTTTGCGCCGTAGATGATGTTCTCCAGGGCAGGCAGGACGCGGACCCAGATCGGCGGCCGCCAGTCGCTGGGGATGAATCTACAAGTCATTATATCTTAGCACAGGAGTTCCCCCTTCAAGCTTCATGTTACCTAGCTCGGACACCTTCATGTTTCAGGATGCGGGAAAAGGGTGGTGCCTAGTTAGGTAAGGCAGGGGGGTTGGAAGAACTCACTGGCAAGCATAGAAGAATATCAGCCAGCAGATTACCGGCAGGAAAGGAAGAAAGAACTGGCATGTTATCGGCATAAGAAGCGAGCTGATCAGGCCGAGAGCTACGATGGTCTTTGCCAGCGGTCCCGGCGACTCGATGATGCAGAGGGAGAAGATGCCCAGCACGATAAGCACGAGGTATTGGCCGTCGTATATGGTCCACCTATGAGCCTGCAGCGCCTTGAGGGTGTCTAGAGGAGAGAACGAAGTCGACAGGCGTGTTATGGAGGAGGAAGGAGACGTTCTCGAGCGCAACTTGGACCGGATGCGGCGGCGGAGGCGTGAAGGGAAAGGGAGCAGTAGCTGCAGCGAGCGCCATGGTATCAGGAGCGGCGGTTTCGCGAACGGATGGTCCTTCCAGGAGGCCATCTTTCTGGTCTATCTCGTCTTCGTTGAACTGCAGCTGAGAGGTAGAAGTCTCTATGCCGGTCAATTGGTAGCGAGGTTCTCTTGGTCGGTGCTGGTCTCGTGTGTTGGGTGTCCGTCTGTCCGTCTTGCTTCGGGAGATGGGGGCGAAGGGAACGTGTAGAAGCAGCCAGGCAGAACCGCACCAGCACAAGACAGCCCGACAAGCAGGTCAGGGCAAGCCAGGAGCTGAGATGTCGATGTCGAGGGAGGATGTCGGTAGATTAAGACCAAAGAACAAGTAGAAGCAGAAGTAGAAGCAGTCGAAAGACGCAGAGTTGGAGGTTTTTGCCTGCGCTTTTTATTCAACCCAAAAAAAGCGAGAAAGCGAGAAAAGGTCCGCTGACATAAGCAGAGAGCTTCGGTCACGTACGGTAACGTAAGGTAACGGGGCTGTAACGGAGGCCAAGGCTTGCGTGGAGACAGGCTGTAACGGGCGTGACAATACGCGGATGCTTCGGATGCGGATGCAGAGTGACTTCATTGACCTAGCAAAAGTGGCGGCGGCGCAAGTCACTCTACACAGTCAAATCTCCCGCTCGTATTCCGTATTCCGTAACTGTTGCTGTATCTTCACTCAGCCGCCCTTTCTCAGGCCTTCTCTAAGGATGCGGCCTCAGGAGTGAAACGAGCAAGACGTCGCAGCCCAGGCTTGGTGGCATGCAATATCACAAATAGTCAGCTGGAACTATAAGCAGCAGCGTCGACCATGCCTGCATCGTCAGCTTGCAAGTCCGCCCGTTACTTTTTAATAACCAGAAAAATAAGACTATGCTGGCCCCCCGGCATTTGCTGCTGCTTGCTGCTGAAGTGAAGCCCAAAATTACCCATAGTCCTGTTCCAAGCATCCTTATACATCGTATCCTCCTGCTAGTCTTGCGCACCAAGCATCCCGGCAGAGCCAACTAGGTTAACCAACAGCTGCCCCATTGCCCATGCGTACTAGAAACTAGCGAAATATAGCCTTGAAAGGTAATTTATCTCTTTGCCTTTCCCGAGCGAAGCGACCGGCGGACGTTCGGGCACCCAGATCTTCCGTCTTGACCAGCGGTTCCTTGGTTCCCTTAGCTCGTTTTTGCTTGCTTAGCGAAGTTAAATGATGGGCAGTTACAGGGCTGGTCCCTCTTCGCGCCGAGTCCCCGAGCCCCCGAGATGAGGTCACGGTGCGTTAGGGGCGGGCGAGCTAGGAGGAGGCTGGCGGTTGCGTCGTGCGTAGTTGCGTAGTGCGAGTGCGTATTGCGTAGGGACGTTGCGTCTTGTCCGTGGCTCCGTGGAAATGCAGAGCTGCCTGGTGGCTATCCGTCGAGCTGTACGCCCGGCTGCAGGTCTGTCTGCGTGAGATGAAGGCAGGTTAACTCGCGTGATCCTGCGGGTGACTTTCTGGCTGTTGCAGTGTCGATCGTCTTGGAGATGGCGCTGTCAGGATCGTGTCCTCTTGCTTTCGTACGGAGTTAAGAAGGAAAAACCCTGGGCTCGAGAGGACCCTTTTTTTTCGTTGGCGTGGGTCGCTTGAAGGTAAAAGGAGATGTCATATTTTTATTTCGATCGGCTAGTGAAATGCTCCGTTCTGTCATGGCTGGCGTTTGATTGATTGATCGACTTCTTCGTCTTCTTCGTCTTCTTCGTAGTTTTGCTCGCGTGAGAAGCGACGGAGTTTATTATATGTGCATAAAACTATGCATAAAAGATAAATTACGGCATAAAGCGATTATGTAAGATACACAACTTTTGAACCTCGGCAAATTTAAAAAAGATAATGAATTAACTCCGTACTCCGTAGATACATAGATGTATTTATTGAAAGGCATAACAGAACATAATTCTTTAGCACCTGACAAGATACTAAGACGCCAGTGCTTGTTGTTTTTTTTCTTCGTTGCATGATGGACATTTCGGTAAAATCGGGACAAGGTTAGCTAAACTCTGCTCTCAAACGCCTTTTCCAGCTCCGAAGCTTCCGTCTTCTCTTGTCCTCCTCCCATGCCGGTCTCGAGGTCTCCCTGCTGCTTACCCTCACCGTCTGCATGAACCTGTCCCGCGACCTTGGCCAGCTCGAATTTGCGGCCTCTCATCTCCGGTCCAAAGGCGGTCGTGACCATGATACCAAGCGCGATGATGGCTGTGGCTACTCCCATGGTGGCGCCGTAGCCAGGCGCCGGCTTGCCGTTGTCTCCCCTGACCGTCATTGACTCTGCAACGGCGTTGACGATCTGGGCTGATGGGGAGGAGATCATGTTGCCCAGCTGGTACGTTAGACCCGGGAAACTGGATCGATAGGCTGGAGGGGAGAGCTCGTTGAGATGGATGGGGATGACGCCCCAGGCGCCCTGGACGAAGAACTGCATCATGAAGCCCGAGGCGGAGAGGGAGTGTTCGCCGTGAGGCAGGATCCAGGCTGGGATGATCAGGCCCGACAGTAGGGCGGAGAGGACGATGGTGCGGCGACGGCCGAGCCACTGGGACATGTAGCCGAGGATGGTACCGCCGACACAGGCGCCGACCTTCATGAGGATGGATGCGCGAGAGGCAGCGGAGTTGTTGAGAGACTTCTCAGTGAGCATGAAGGTGGTGTAGCTGTCCTGGGAGGTGTGGCTGTAGAAGTTGAACCAGGTCATGAGGAAGATGCAGTATATCACCAGCTTCCAGTCCTTGGCCAGCATCTCCTTGGTGTCTCTCCAGAACTTGCCCGGGGTGGTGGCACCGTTCTTTAAGCCTTCCTTGCGCTCCTTGCGTGCAGCCAGGAACTGTTTCGACTCAGGCATGAAGATGCGGATGACTCCAGACAGACAAGAGATGCCTGCTCCGATCCAGAAGACGATCTTCCATGAGTCCGTGGAGCCACCGACGCCCAGGTTGGCGCATGCCGCAAAGACGTAGCCCATCGAGTAACCCTGCTGAAGGACACCGGACATCAAGCCTCTCGCCTCAACGGGACAGTTCTCCAGGGCCATGGCGATGGCGTTACCGTACACACCGCCCATGAAGAGACCGAACAGGCTTCTGACGGCCAGGAACTGAGCGAAAGTAGCGCAGTAGATGGTTGCGACCTGCAGCGCGCCCAGGATGAGCATGTTAGCCACCATCGGCCACTTGCGCCCCCATCTGTCTCCGGCCAGGCCAAAGATGGCTGCACCGACCGATCTGAGCAGGAGAGTCAGGGTGATGGCCGTGGAGATGGAGGTCTTGCTGCGGCCAAAGTACTTGGACAGCTTGACGGTCTGGATCGAGAGGGCGTGGAAGTCGAAGGCGTCGCAGATCCAGGCGAACAGGCCGACCACGAAGAAGAGCCAGTTGCGCGCCGACAGCTGGGCAGCCAGGGAGATCGGGTTCTTGAGCGGCTCGGGGTCGCGGTACTCGACGGTGGTGACGCCGGTGACGCTGTCTGTCTCCTCGACCCTGACCTTCCAGTTGAACAGGTCGCGGAAGCACTCCATGGGCGACTGCCGGAGGCTCTTGTTGCTGTCGTCTATGGCAGCCATCTTGGTATATGGTATGAAGGAAGTAGATGTGAAGAAGTAGTAGCTGTCTTGCTTGATGCTTGATGCTCGACCTTGATCTTGTGTCCTTGATGTTGAAGCTGGCGAGTTGACAAGTTGACGTTGAAGCTGGAGGCCGACGTCTTATCACTGCTTTTTGGCTGCTTTTTGGCGTCCCTTTATGCTTTTTCGCCCTCAAGTCGATGACGGCAGAGAAGGCCTTTGATGCCTTTGGTCTCAACCAGGCTTGAGATGAAAGACGTAAGAGTAAAGAAAGAGAAGGAAAAGAAGAAGTCGAAGTCGTAATTAAAAGAAGAAGAAGAAATAGTACTGCTTAACCGTCTATCCCACCCTCCATCTTCCCTTCTTGCCTGCAGCTTCTCATCCACTGTGGAGAGACCAACCAGGGGGCAGGCAGGGAAGAGAGTGAGGAAAAGGGAGAGACTTCACTGTTGCACTGCATGCAGAGTCCCGAAGGAAGAGACGTTACTCTTGCTCGCCTGCCTGCATAACTACGGTAGTCACTGTTGTACTGCTTCTTCTTCTCTCCTTCTCTTCTTCTTCTCTTCTTCTGCTTCTCTTCTCTTCCACTGACTTCAGCTTCGACTTCAGCTTCTATAGACCTGGACCACCAACCGCCCTTTCGACCTTCGCCTCCGCTTCTCGATGTCACGCTCTGATGTCACTTTTAACTGATCTTCCAAGGGCCAAGCCCGAGGTCAAAATGCTTGTCTCGACTTAGCTAGCGAGGGCGAGGGCGGCCGAGGATAACGGGGACAGCTAGGTAGCGAGGGCATCAAGTTATACGAGCTGGATGCTTGAGTCGGCAAGGGACAAACAAGACTACATCCTAGACTTCATCTATTATCTAGCTGGCTGAGAGATGGCTGACTACATGTGCGACGACGGAGTGACTAGTTAACGACTGCACCTGACCGTGTTACTTGAGATGAAAGACTTGCTGCTTCCAAGGTAGCACAACGACTCGGAGCACCCGTCCCGTCTCTTGTCACTCATTTATCATCTCTCAAATTCTCTCTCTTCCGTCTCGACAGCACAAGACGGGATGAGATGGGATGACACTGTGGCAGGCAGAGGATACACATAGCAAACTCCTCTATATCTACACATAAGTAGTTACTTCAAGTCAAAGACAGTCGGAGGAGCTTTCGGTGACCTCCGGTTTTCCGACGGAGAGTACGCGACAGCGGCCAAACGGATGAAGCTGGGGTAATGGATGCAAGTAAGTAGGTAATCAGTTAAATTAAAGGGAAAACAGGCGAGAGAAAGCGGAGATGTTGAAGTTATTTCTCTGGTCGGCTCTACTATACTCTACTCTACATCAAAGAACCAACGGCGGGCAAAAGGTCAAGATAGTCTATTACATCCCTTTCATCCATGCTTATTGAAACCAAGGATGCTCCAGCGCCTCGGCAGCAGTGATTCTCCTAGACGGATCCAGGCAGGTCATCTTGCCTACCAGGTTTCGCAGCTCTGGGTCAACATACCCCCATGTCTCAAAGGGTTGTCGCGGACTACAGTTCTCTGCCAGGCTCACCAGACGTTGGTAGAACGGGTTCTCAGTGCCGATGTGTTTCAGCAGCCCGTCGAGCCCGTCTAAGTCCGCAAAGTAGGAGATGTGCCGGGCCAGGACGTGTCTCCATGCGTCTGCTGCGTCTAGCTTCTCCCAGCCAACGTGGAAGACCAGCTCGTCCACCATGACATATATCATCTGGTTGTCCATCAACTAACTTAGCGTCCGAGTTCAAGTCAAGCCGACCAGGGAATGCAGAACATACCACGATTCCAAAGGAGAAGATATCTGAGCTGATGTTCTGGCGCGCCCGGCACCAGCTCTCAGGACTTCTCCAGATTGCATTCCCACAGAGACCTCCTCTAAACCACTTCCCCGCCGGCAGGAGGACGGTGTCTTCAAGGTCTGATATTTGAACACTCTTGATCTTTACCGCCTCTTCTCCTGCGCCTGCCCTTGATTCCTCATACTCTATCAGCACATTGTCTGCTTTGATATCTATTCGATCTGTTAGTCACGGCATATATTCTATTGCCAATGGTACTATACAACCCACCGTTATGAACAACATTCTCTTGTGCATATCTCGAAGACCCTGTAAGGCATTTCGCAGTATATCAACCTTTGTTTTCCTTGACTTTAACTTGGGGCTTAGGTGTTGTAAGTCCCCCGTTAGGTAAGGGTATATGAACATCTCAAGAGGTTGGATCGTATCAGTTACTGCCCGGATATTGGGACAGGCTGAGAAACGTCTCTGCAGATCAAGTTGATACTCAAATTCGCCTGGTATCATGTTCTTGAGAATGTATTTCTTCTCTCCGGAGCTTTCCAAACATTAGACAATCAAGTACAATCTTAAGTTTAGCCGTGTTTAAAGGCTTACCACGCGCGATAGACGCAGGGTAGCGGGTTCCTTTGTTCACGCAGAGTTTCTTCGATCCTGTAGATGTTTCCGGAATCACTCGTCAACTGCATCCCTGGTGTAAGCGGCTCCCTGAGGGTAGACATCTTGCATCGGTTTGGAAGACGTTTCGGGGGGAAAGCCCGAGGTAAAGCAGTTCTAATTGGGAGGTATGGTCGGGTGCAGAACCTAGACACCAAAATCGAGTGCATTATTAGCACTCCCAGGACCTATATATGATAAGATTTGGTTATTCGAACCGCGAAGCTGAAGAATGAAAATCCAACTATATGAAGAGATAGACTAATTGCAAATTTCTTGGTAACACTAACTATTTAACCAAATCGCCCAGGCACCCAGCGAAAATCACCATTGAGAAGGCTAAGAAGAAAAAAAGGATCGATAAGTTTCATATTCAATAGTTATATTGATTATATTGGTTTACTCCGTACTTGATTAGTTATTTAAATGACTGACAAAACTACTCTTCGAATGGACCCCTAGAACGGAATGATCTGGCTGACCTCCTGATTCCACTCGACAGGCCTCGCAAGCATGCTATAGTTCCGCTTTGTCAGTGACATCATAAAACAGTAACTAATATAATGACATGGCAGGCCTACCGCTTTCCCGCGTCAGTTGCCCAGCATCCACAGAATATAGCTGCAGGGTAGCATATGACCTGATAAATGGTTAGTTTCTATATAGTTATTATGTAGAGAACAATATAGCGGGTATATACCGCTGAAACAATGCCCACTGCGAAGCCTACATCATGCATTAGATTGATTAGTGATAGATTATAGGTAAGGGTGGTAGATGGGATTGATCTACCTAGAGTTGGACCGACGACCTTGCAACGACATGGATTCTGGTCGGTTCCGCATTGGAAACACACGATAGGGAAAGGGATGAACATCGTGATGGTGTGTACAGGGCTGTTTAGACAATGATAATTAGTCGTTCAGTATACACTAAAACGCGATATGTATGTACTTTATGCCTGAACCTGTAGACGAGGCCTTGATATATCGCTTGCTCTGCTATGACGTCGCATCTATCAATCCTGGAAGGCAAATTGAACATCCGCCGGCCATGATTAGCCAGAACCACCAAACTTGAACTTTCTACAGTCCATCGAACCTGACAAACAAACATCCAACCAACATCTCTTGGTTAAATCACTCGTCCTGGTTGCCCTTCTCTTGCTCAGCCTCCTCTTCCTCCCTCCTAATCCGCTCCCGAACCTCCATCAGCGCCTTTCCAAGCAGATTCAGCCCCCAGTTTGCTCTCTTGGCCGGCGCATTCTTCGCTCCAAAGCCAACTCCCCATATCCTATCGCGCGGACTAGCTTCGACAAGCTCCCTATCGCCCGTCTCCAGCAGCTGGGCCTTGAGCTCCGGGTTCTGCGTGAACTTGTAGTAGTTCCCCTGCACCACGATCCGGAAGCGTTCTTTCTTCCACACCGCGTCGTCGAAGTTGGGCACTTTGCGGCCTAGAGCTTTTATCGTCTTGGGATCAGGTACGGGACCTGAGGGAGCAAGGATCTCTTGCGTTACGGGGTCGTCTGGAGCGAAGAGGACGCCCTTTTGGTGCATCATGTAACTATGCCGTGTTTCTTAGACTGGTGCGATCATGGTGCTGGGGGTATAACGCTGGCTTCCACAGATGAGAGAGTCCTGCTATGAGACAAGCTTACTGTTCACAGTTCTCATATTTCAGCTCCTTGCCTCCATCCTCTGCGGGCACGGTGAAGTCAGACTTCCACCATTGTCCTAGATACCCGTGTTCCTGCTCGGGTTTCCAGAAGAAGATGGGCTCGGAATACATTGTCAGGGCAGGAAGTCGACAGATGTGAGAACATGAAGGGTATCAAGCTCTTCCAACATGGCAAAGGGAAGAAGCTGGTGCTTAAATAAACAGGCAGCTTCTCGTGTGAGTCAATGGTGGCTTTTTTAGCTTGAGGCTCAGCCGCGTCTGCCTATCTAGTCCACAGGTTATTTATATCACCACTGTCTACCCTATCATTATGCGAAGTCGCTAGTGGTCGATTCATCATTTGACAAGTCAAAGGTTCTGCATAAGAATTCATTCATTCATTGGGGCTATTGACGAAGACTCGTTTCTAGTTAAAGAGTGACACATGTTTCATCGAAATGACTCCCCTGGCATCCCGTCGCTCCCTCGCTCGCTGGTCAACAACCCGAGATTGAGGCTGAAATAAGCCCAGTCAATCCATGTTGGGCCGTCGATCGCTTTGTTTAACTATGCGCATCTCTGGGGAAAGCGGGGACCTGGTCAGTCCAAAGCTCGGTGATAAAAGGGGAGACTGGGAGTCATAAACTTACGCCATTACGGCACTGGTAGCAGCCGTTGCTCTTGCAGTAAGCATCGTTGCTGCAAGGGGCGGAAGCGCAGATGAAGGCCTGATTTAAGAAGTCAGCATCTATATCTAACAATCTACTAGGTGGCTATATAAAAGTAGGGGATCGACGTACGCCCTGGGTCAGGCCCTCCTTTGGCTGGGGAGCTGCAAGGGCTGCGACAGAGGTCACTGCAAGGAAGAACATCATAAGACCCTTCATTTTGGCTGTTGGTTTGTTTGGGATTGTTGAGGTATGGGAGTATTCAATTGTTCAATGTGCTTGTGTGCTTTCTTGCTTGAAGGTGTTCGAAATCACCCAGCACCATCGGCCCCTTTATATATTGCTTGAATGACCCCGTAACTACACAGCATGATCTTCCCTACCGAAGCTGAACTTATTCCTTCATCTCCCACGGGGTCATGACGATAACAACTCAGGACTGCATCATTGTGGAGTAACCGGAGGATTCCATTTGGTGATCCGACAGACCAAGATACCAATCAGTAAAGGGAGAGCTGTAGATCGAGGGCTGAAGAAGTTGAAAGCGCCCCTTGCTTGCAGCCAGAATCCTCATCCCCCGCAATCCTTCACATATGCTGTGTGCATGAAACGTAGCTCTCTTCTCCTAGATAGACCCATCAAGCCAATAAGAGGGTCATGTCGGCGTTTGTTAGGAAGGCCAAGCTGCATGTTGGATCATCCTTCAATGCTGCATATTCGTGTGCAACTGGAGAGAAATGAGATCGTCTATCACTTTCCACCATTTAATTCATCTGGAGTTTCTGGTCTTGTTGCGAAGGAGCAAGAGAGCCAATTTCTATATCATGGTTAATCAGTAATAAAGGATAAAGGTAACTCGATATAGATGGAAGGGTGAGCTGCTGGTAGATGTAGATCCCCCGGAAGAGTAAAACACGGCGACATTCTAAAATCGTGACCTGCATATGATCTATGCATCTAGAAGCCGATCACTGCATTGCTGCTATTACTTAGATCAGGTCACCCGACAAGCTGCGTTGTTGGTGCCCCTGGGATATCTATTTCAAGATCAAGTCGAAAAGTTCATTGATAATATGAGTACATCTGCTTGTTTTGTTCTTCACAAGTACAGTGGGAGTGAGATAAACACCTATTCGCCAACCATTTACACCTGAATATGGAAAGTCGTAACGGGTCATCCAGTAGTTATCTATGCCAATGCAGCCAACACTTAATTTCGTTCTCTGCCGACTGATCGAATCTTTCTTATCTCAACGTCCCTCATATTCAAGCCTTCTTCTTTCTTCCCCTGGTCTGACCATTACCAGAATTCTCCCACATGTTGACGAGGACACTGCACGGCGATTAAGGTCAGTACTTCACTATAACAAGAATGACTATTAAAGAACTTCTAATCGTAGAATTACCTCTGTGTTCTGTCCTGGTATTCCTCAGCCTGCATCTCCTTGACACCGACCTTGGCGCCGTCTCTTGAAAACGCTACGTTCTTCTTCTCCATCTTCTTCTTTGTGTTATCCTTCACATCCATGGCGATGCTGTATACCACTAGGCCGATGGCTGCAAGCGCGACAACCAGCAGGACCATGAGGATCACCGGCAAAAGACGACTGAAAACACCCATGGCGAATGACGACTAGCTGACCGAGTCTGCTCCGTGTTCTGTAGTTATCTGTCGTCTTGGTCTCCTGGTAAGAACCCACGAAAGGAGGATGGACGGTGTGAGTGGGTTCGGTTCGAAGATGATCGCACTGTCAGGTCGCTTGCGAGAGGGCGCGGGGTATGCCCGTATTCAGAGAAGTCGTTAGATAACCGGGACCGAAGGCGTTGATCGACTCAAGAAAGAGACCGCGCCTGGTGCCGAGATGGTAGTTATGGAAAATGCGACAAGGAGCGAGACACCCCGAGGGGCCTGAGGCTGATTAAATGATTTATCTTGATAAGGGCTCAGGAGACCGCGAAAACCAGCCACACTTCACTTAGCAGCTGAGCAACGGAGAAGCAAGGGGGAACGGGCGGGAGCGGGCGCAGGCTGTGGCTGTTTCGTCGCGCGTTTGAACTAGCTGGGCGGTTCCTTGCACAAGCTCGTGTTATGAGAGCATCCGATTCGCCACAAAGGCAGCATTCAGCTGGCGTTGACATGTACGGAGTTATATAAAGTCAGACATGCTGGGGCCAGAACTTGTTACCATGCAGAGACAGCGATTATTCGGGCTGCATCCGCATCTCCCCCTTGTCCTATGCCTGAGTTCTTTGCTTTCTCTCCCTTTGAAGGCATTTTTTCTTCTTTCCTCGGCACATGCGGTTATCTAATAACTAACGACATGACTAATGGCTGATAGTACGTTTTAGGGTGGCTGAGTACAGGGGATCTTGAAGCAAACACTAGAGATGCAGGCTATCGTGATTGATTTACATTAAAGGCTCGTCAGTACGGAGTAGCTATCTTTTATTTATATACTAAACCTAAGAATATACATACATAAAAGATTTAGAGTATCTACCGTTGGCCTAGCATGTCCACTAGTCGCTCACCTCCGGCGCGGCGAAGGAACCTCGACTTGATGGAGTGTGATGCCTAAGGACAACATAGTCCGAAGGTAGGAGCGAGAAACTCTGCTTGCCGCCTTCGTCCAACCTTGTGTCGTGTTAATCTCAAGGAAATGGACTCCATTATCACCTCGTATATTGATGACAGTCTGCCGTGCAGTCTGCACGGTTTTTTGGCCATTCTCGGCAATCTTTATTGCCTTTGTGACCTTTTCCCATATATAGCGGTATTCTGAAAATAATCACTGAGGGTATCACGCCCTACCTCGTACATGCCGATTAAGATTTCATATTGCTCAGCAATTTCGGTAACCTGTGCTACCGCATTATTCAGTATCTTTATGTACCCTTCTTGAGGAATTTCAGTCGCCCAGCGTTGAAGCGCCTTCTTTAATTCGGCGCGGGTTCCAAACATCCCTCCGGCAACAACAACAACTAGCCGCGAGGTGGCCCGGAATAGGGAAGTCTGTGTTTCCGTACTTTCTTCGCTTTTGCCAAACGACTGAGCTAAAAGAGTGAGCTCACACCGGTAACTAGTCGGTCAGTAAATATTCTGCTTTAGAATATTGTTCACGAGGGCTCTAAGAGTGGTGGTCATTAGCGGTCTTTTCTTCAAGTAGTTGTTGAAATTGATTTCCCATACACATATGGGAAGGCTGCGGGCCATTTAGTCAGAAAGATCTTGCATTGAATGATGAGATAGGACGGCTGCGAGGTCATGGGCCGAATCATGGGCCGACTCATTTCGCTTTGCCACCCTCTATATTTAAATATTAGCATGGAGTTATCTGTGGTATAAGACACATATACATACACTCGGCAACCGGTTCAGTTCTTTGCAATATTTTGTAGGTACCCCTGCATTTGCCAGGCGTTGATCTGTTATTGTTGTGGCAAGTTGCTGGATCCTAGTAGTTGATCCATCGATTTGTGTAGACGCTGACCCTTTTGGCTCCTTAGCTAGGAGCTTTCTAGCCATATATATCAACAAACTCCTTTTCCCCAAGTTTGCGCGAATCCGCAGTGTTATCTCCAACTACGCTTCTTTACCAATATTGTGGTCTCGTAGCTCGGCACTCTCTTCACGTAACTCGATATTTTCCTCAAAAAGCTGATTAAAATTTGCTTTTATAGGTTCTCAAATTAGTCTGCAATCTGCTTATCTCGTTGTCTCTCTCGCTGTTCTTCCTCCTATAACCTAGCTTAGTGACTATTGATATGCGAAATAACTATAGCTACATTAACTTACATGTTCAGCCCGTCTAGAAGAGTTGGGTATTGGTTCATAAGGGGCAGAAATATAGATTTTTGAACTAGGATCTTCGGCGGTGACCTGACTATAGTATACCCCAATACTGCGGTCGTTTGGGGCGGGAATAGGATGTAGCTTTATCCGCTTCAGATTGATGGCTTCGGACTGTAATTGTGTCTAGTTCCTTTCTATGGTTTTCGAGCTATGAAGGAGCTGCTTAATCGAGAGGGCTTTGGTTTGTTTGCTCGGAGGCGTTAGCGGAAGAGCAACCCTAGATAGCGCCATCTTCTAACCTTAGTAGCTTACCTTTAGATAGTTTGTTGGACCACAAGGGACAAAAAGGCCTGATACCTCGAGGATACCTTGGGCAATGTGTGCGAGTCGTAGCTAAAGTGCAGATATCCCAACATGATGCTAGCACGACTGACTCATCGCGACTTCCTGCTTGGAAAGGCTCCAAACTTGAGACGCGTCGCCAACAATTTGTTGTTCCCATAACTAACTAATTAGGAGTTTTCTATGGGCTAGAATTGATCGTCCGTGGCGTAGTCGTAACTAGTTATACGTCAGGCTCCCCGGTTTGATCTTCACCGGCCCATAGAGGATTTTAATCTTTGATTCCTTCTCGGTCTCTGAAGAACTAGAGGAACCAACAGTTTTCTAGATTGGTCCTTTATAGTTATTATCATAGGGGAAATAAGTGAATTGAAAAACTGTGAAGTCCAAAAATTACGGTTCTTCACGTCGGACTTCAGGGCTTTTTCAATTCACTTATTTCCCCTGTGGTGGTTCCACTTTAACTAACCATGCGGCTCATGCCAAGAATATCCTTAATCTTATTGACTACAAGCTTCCAAGTTTAACTATTCGCAACGCCCGTTTTTTCAACATAACTACAACGAATGAGGAGCAAAGATAACAAGGACAGTCTTATATTGAGCCGCACCTAGTAGTACTGCAGAATATGATTTGTTGACAAGGTGAACTAGACTCTCAACACAGATACCTCATAATAACTTCAGACAACGGAAATGACAGGCTTGGTCCCCTTCCTTCATCAGATAACATAACCGCAAGTCCCCCAGATACCCGAAATGGTTTGTCTGAGAGTGCTCTAGGGGATGCAAGTGCAGCCGAGGTAGCTGCGAGTGCAGCGGCCATCATGGCCCTCGCATCCATTCTCATTGCATTTTCCGCTAACGGCACCGCAGTTGTATCCACATGGACAGTCACGGTAAGGGCCCTAAGAGGGGTTTACGGTTAGTCTCAGCGTGCAGGGGAATATTCATGGTATACCTACAGAGAAGCAAGTGATTCTGTCAACACTCAGCTCTCCATGGCAGTCGTTCTCGTAGCAGTTGCCGTTGGTGCTCCCGCAGGCGGCCTGGGAGGATTGGAGCCCTGGGCGAGCGAAAGAAGTGGCCACGGAGGCAAGACCGACAAGGAGGATGGTGGTGAAACGCATGATGGCTGATTGAACTGATAGTTCTTTTCTGATTGATTTGGTTGGAGTATGGAAGATTGAGTGCTTTGGATGTGCTGGATGTTTTTGATGTGTTGGATGATTCTGAATTCCAACTTCGAAGGGAGATATACCCCCTATTTATACCTTCGCTGAAGGCCTTTCAGTATGGGTATCATTCTCTCTGTGTGAATTCAGCTGAGTTGATTACATGTCGCGATCGATTGCTCCAGAGGAGGTATTGGCATGGGAGAAGTCTCCCCGTGCTCGCCTTTCGCGCTCTCATGACTGCACGAAGAAGTTCAGCCATGCACTTTCTCCAGAGTGGCTCTCATCCGCCCTAATTGCAATTCTCTCTAATGAGATATATCTTATACGTCAAAAACACTATTTCTCGGGGTTTGCTCGGTGGTCTGCTTCTCAGTGAGGAGATCGATATTTCGGGCATTGGAAACAGACTCGACATACGGAACGGTTTACTTCTACAATATACTTGCAGGAAGTTGTGTGACAAGGATATGTATTTTGAGCCTAGAGCTGGCAAATGACTGGATAATTCCTCTTCCTTTTTATCTAGATGGAAAGGGGAAATCTTAACGATAGGACGCCTCTTGTGTGAAAGCGTTGCACAGACACCAATAGGAATCCAGTGTTGGCTAACTAGTCAATGTTGACAGCGCTGATTCCCAAGAATCAGTAACGTGTATTCAATCAGCAGAGCATATCTAAATCAACGAGAGTGACAAAATGGCAAATGAAGCAGCTTTAGCTGCATAGTCGTTTACCTGCGGCAGCTGTCACCGATCTGCCATAATCCAGCCGGTTATTTGAACCCCTCCTCTCCGTGAAATTGGACACCCCCCGATAAATAAGTAAGCTGTAGCCCTATCGTATGTAAATATAGGCCCTCCATATACTCAACCAAGAGCAGCAGCACTAACTAAACCTTGTCTCTTTCCCCTTGTTTGCCCTATAACGCCAATGAGGGATTGGGGTCTAGATCGAGCATTTGTTTGTGCAGTGAGCTTACCCCAGTAGATCCCCGACGATGATCCCGCAAGGCGCCGTGAGATCGGCGCTGCAAGCCACCCCGGCCCAATGGCAGCTGAAAGCGTCGAATAAAGGCGCCTGTAAATGCAAGTAGGCCCTTTTTTGAGATTAAGGCATCGATAAACTTCGTTATTTATTACCCGAACAAGCATGCCATGCTTGAAAGATGGTCAAATAGGCGAACTTTACGTAGACACCTGACCAGCAGTGTGACTTGTGACTATCTACTTCTGGCTCTGCATGGGCTTTTTTCTTCGCCGTTCCTATGCAGTCACTGCTCTAGCGTACATGCTCCGTGCTTCCCCTCATATCACGGAGGCGCCTCTAACTACTCTGTACCAGAGAAGGTATATTCCCTCATATCGGACTCGAGTTGAGGTGTCTCATATACTATCTGCATTTGGAGCTAGTGACTATCCTCGTCATGGTCCTGGAATGGCCATTGCCCTTGAGCAGATCGTTCTTCCTCCGGCGTATCAGAGCCATCCAGTAACACCTGCTTTAACTCTATGCTCTTCTTCACAGTGTCTTCGTCAGCCCTCACCCAGCCATTATCACCCAGGTTTCCTAGCTCCGATTTCCAGTACTCAACGAGGCCATTCATTTCAAACCAAGTTGGCTCCTATTGGTAGTATATATCAATCTCGGATTGGGTAAACGAGATTGGATACGGAACTGGCTGAGGTAGGCTTGTGTTAAAATGGTGCCAGTTTTCGTATATCCTGATAAATGCCCCCTTTAGGCTAAAAATATCCCCGCTCCATTATTTTTCAGCGCTTTCAATAAGGTGTTGGAGCGATAGGACACGGGGATCTTTCATACCTGATAAGTGCTTTTTATTTAGACTACCATTGAATGCCATGTAGATGTCATAGATATTCTGCGTCAGTAGAGCTCATTTGCGTGTGACTTTTGCTCTGGGCTTCTCGAGTCATAGTCATCAGGCAGGCTGGACTTCTCGAGTGTCCGTGGTGGTGGTTGATCAGGACCCCGAAACACCGGAGGATGGCCCGTGGCGAGGAGAAGCGGAAGCAAGCTCGCATGCTGCCAGTCTATTATGGAGGAGATCTTGTTTCTGGGCATATAAACACGTTACTAGGATTCAGGTCTGAATAAGAAAATTAGTATTTTTGTTACAACGTCGGCCTGGAAGGACTTACTTACCTGGATGGCGCAAAAGAGGGTAGCTCAGGTCGTTATGAGAATCTGAGCTAAGGAGGTAAGAAGCCACATCCATATATTGGTTGAGAAGTCGAGTGTATTCGTCAGGAGAATTGACGTCCTCGAAGTAGACGACATGTGGGAATTCTATAGTGCGAGGTCTGCCGTATCTTCTCGTCCATTCACATTCTCGTTTGGCGTTCGTGCTTCGATAGATTAGGCCATTTGGCCTCCAGTGGGGTCCCGGATGGTTTTTCCATGATGATATATATTCAACGCTAACTGGGTGGTTCGCATCAGTGGACCAGCCAAATATACGAGGCACAGGGACACCCTTTGACCGTAGAAGGTCTGTTGTAGCAACTTTGATTGCAGGGGTGTATTCTTTCGGCACAGTGATAGTGTAGGGAATTTTGGCAATAGCTTGATATCCGTCCTCTGAGGTCAGAAGGAATACCCGATTAAACCCTCCTTCGGCAAGTTTTTGGAGGCTGGTAATTTTGCCATGTCCAACGTGTTTTTCAGCGGCGTCCTTCAGGGCAGTAACATCGAAGGAAATCCGTCGTTCTTCAAGGCGACGTCGTTCGTTATATAGGAATCGGCCGGATGTGTATGTAAAGAGCTCATCATTCTCATTTGACCTAGCTCCTCCGAGAGTTAGCTACATAACAGCTAAGAAATATTGGGGCGATGAAAATACCAGCCCATTGTGCGCAATTCCGCAGGAGGATCAAACTGATGTTAGGTTTGAAAGACCATCTTATGGAATTAGAGGGGGAGAGGGTTAAAAGTCCTCTCTGCATTGCCATCATTTTGCGGCCCGGGCGAGTTCATTACCCATCAGAGCTCAGTCTTTGATGATGCTTTAATCAAACTTCAAAAAGTACGGAATAAGCTTAAGTGCCGCCGTTGCAAAGTTAGGTACTGACTAACTATTGGATACCTAGTGACTAAAAGTGGACACTGAATCTATTTATAACTTCACTAGTTCATCTGTGGTGAACTTAAGTCAACTACCAGCAGTGACTGACGATGGTTAGATGTATCTTAGAATAAGTGCGTGGATGAATATTTTTAGTGACTGTTTGCTTATTTCTACACTAAAGCCGGGCCTATATATAAGGGATATCTACGTCGACGCCTCGTCAATTTCTTTCTTTCTTCCCACTCGCTCCAATCATGGTTTTGTCATAGTGGTTAACAAGCTCCCTGGATACGTGCTTGCAAACCTGCAAGCATATATCGACTCCGATACTGCTGCCTCATTGAGTCAAGTAGCTGTAGAGGTACATAGGGTCGGCTTTGCGGGAAATATCATATCAAAACGGCTGAGCCAAAAGCTTGGGCTAGCATTAGTGGCCAGCAGGTTGGGGCTATATTCTGATACTTTTATACGCCGTCGTCCACATTCAAATCACATTAGGATAGCTCGCAGACACCACGGAGGCCCTTATAGCTAATACCTGTATAACCCACTTATAGACGGCGGCTGAATTATAAGCCTGTGACGGTGACCTAACAACTCTGCGAGACTAACGCACATAAGCTACTGGCGACGCAACGTTACAATCGGCACTCGCTATATCAATTGAGACCCTCGCAGAACGTTTGAAGAACGTTGTTGACAAGAACACCATTTAGTGTCGTTCATCGGGACGAACAGCCACGATTCATTTCCAAAAGTACCCTCAGCCAGCTCCCCGAATATGTGTTTGCATATCCGCAAGCCTATAGGAGCTCTAATACTGCTACCTTGCTGAACCAAGGAGCCGCCGAGATGCATGGAGTTAGCTTTTTTGGAAATATGTTGGGATATTTCACTTTAGCTAGACTCACGCACATTACCCAAGGTATACTTGGGGCATTAGGCTGTTTTGATCTCATGCAGTCCAACTACGACAAAAAAGGAACACTTCTCCAGCCCACGCGGGCCATGACACGCGGATTCGGGGGGAGGCTGGGCATCCTCGTAAAGACAGAAAAGATGGTACCAGCCAACTCACTAAATAACTAAGTCCTGGACCGGCGTCATGGCAGTGTGTTTGAAGCAGCCTGTCCTCTAGTCGCATGTCGCATCCTCCTCGACTTTCCCTCCCTGACGCTCTCCACACGACGGCCGCAGGGAGGAAACCTTTGAGGAACGGGATACATATCTCCGGCAGGGGACGAGACGCCTTAATAGTATAAGGTAGGATATATGGCAGAAATCTCTAGCAAGAGCTGGAGCGGTAGGAGATGGCGGTCGCCTTGAGAGACAAGGAGAGCCATAGGCTTAATGAGGAGGCAACTCAGTCCATAAGGACTATAAACGAATGGGAAGAGGCCCTAGAGGAAAGGGATAATTATCTCCGCCGGGAGATGCAATGCCTCAAGACGTTGTTCATGTCAAGATTATCCTTAGCATCGTCGATGCTTCGTTGGACAGGTACTTGCGAGCGGTGCCGAAATCCGGCAAGAAATGCAAGAAGGTAAGTATCAAAAGTGTTCAGCAGCTGGCTGAAAGATATCCTCAATAATAACTTGACTTCTCATATTCTACGCGCTTTCGAGGAGTCAAGCCAGCATGTCGATAGCTCAAGGAGTAGTCTGGATTCATAAGGCTAAGGAGTTTATTTGGAAAGGGGGTCCATTACCTAATCATCCCCATGATGTACTTTGTTGAGGTTAGCCATTCTCATTGGCGCCCTAAGAACTGGCAGATTCTTGTATCTCTCTTTTGTTTCTCTTTTCTTGGCGTCAAACAAGATGGCTCCGCCGCCAGTCCATACCCTAGCCACGATCGGGTATGTATTTTCTAAAATTCCCAAGCAAATAGCGCAGAAATAGAGTCTATTTGTGAAGTTTCTTGATTTGGTTTGATTTTTTGCTAACTATAGGAATGTTTTAGAAACATCCCGTGTGAGAGATGCCTCAAGAGAGGCTTGGAGGACGTCGCCTGCGTTCCGGCTGGGTATAAAGGAACCTGCCAGGCTTGTAGAAACGCAGGCCGACAGTGCGTTAAGGTAAGTGAGATTTTTGAGCAATTCCCGGAATTATTCGTGGTAGATTGAGTCGTTTACTAATATATTGATAGGTGGAAGAAACTCCTGCGGTTCGGGAGTTTATGCTGCTCAGAATGGCCAAATGGTCCTTAGGTCAGACCGGGCAAGATATCCCAGAGGGCCTTGAAGACCAGCTCAAGGACAGCTGGGATGGCCTGATGGCCCCCTACCGTGAGGAGCGGTCTCGTGCGGCGCGGCCCGGCGGCCTTATTCGTGCTAGGAATAGTAAAAGGAAGTTAAACCGTGCAGGGGAGGCGTGGTTCGATAGCTGAA